GGGGGGGGGGGGGGGGGGGGGGGGGGGGGGGGGGGGGGGGGGGGGGGGGGGGGGGGTTCAAGAGCCTGCCAACGACGAAAAAAGAAATGCAGAGGTGTGCTTTCGTGGAGTGCCGTCATTCCCGCTCTCCTTTCGACAGCAGTGCGGCATCATACAGCCCAGCCGCCCACGGCGGAGATGCCGCCAGAGATGCACGACTGCATGAGCGGCGGCAACGAAGTCCCCCTACGTAACCACAAGAGCCACGCAATTGCATGGGGGCAAACTGAAACTCGGGACCGATCGCTATTTGGTGTTGTTCCGCCACGAGTGTTCGTTCCCTCAGGAGGAGCGGACAGCGGTTCAGCTCGTGATTAATGTACGCAAACAGAAGAACTCGTCATGTCGCTCTTAGTCTAAGGTACAACCAAACGATTGTAGTTACAATGCAGGCTTGTACATGCACATTTTCATTCTTTGTGCGGGTCGAATCGTCAACTTCGATCAGCAACACGTTCTCCCACACTCGGCGGGTTTACTTGTGAGGAAACCAGTTAGTCCAGAGCATGGAAGGGCAGAAGCGGTCGTGGTTGCACACGACGGACTTCAGCGGTGTCATCAGCCCGACACACCGAATACAACGGCCCTTTCGAACTTCAAACGCCGCCTCTTTTTTGGAATCTTGAACTGTGGTAGAACATTCTTGCACCCCACGGCGGCGGGGATGAGCGTGGCGGACAGAGCATTCCCCCGACAACAACGAGGGAGCACCACGCGCACCTTGCTCCTCTTGTTGACGTTGCCCCCTCCGGCCAAAAACCCCTTCATCCGAGCCAGGTCCCCTTGCTCAGCTGCTGCGTAGACGCTGGAAACCGCAGCGGGCGAAGACGCAGCCAGGCCATCGCGAGAGGAGCTGTTGCTGCAGAGCGACAGTTGCGATGGCCACCGCACGGGAATCCTGGGGGAAGGTGCTAGCATGGCCCGGTTCTGTGTTGCTCCGTGTACTTGAGAGACGAAACAACAATCAAATGCTTGACAGCAGCGCAAACAGGTCTTGGGGGGCGTCACACATGGGATTTTACTACACCAGACCTGAACTCGGAAATCCATCAGCCAATCAAAACGAGAGGGGACCGGAAGAACTTTCCGCTTGCGTTTTCCTCGGACGGCCCCGGCCGGATGGCGGAATCGCGAGACATTGCGCCGAACGGTCGACGAACGCCATTTTACCGGGTACCGGAGAAGGGGTTCCGGATGGATGATGGTTGAATTTTGCCGCAACAATGAGAAACGCCCGCTGTGTGTGTGCTTGCAGCAGACGTATGTAAAGTGTGGGCACCACAATCGTAGCGCACGACAGGCATCCGAAGAAAAAATCCGCCGGTGGTGTGTAACAATTTCCGAAGTTTCATTTGGGCGAGTCATCGGCCGGCGGGTAGATCCAGGGTAGACTAGTAGTATATAGTAGTAGATGCTTGGATAGCGGATGGAGGACGTGGTACGTACAAAATCGACACAGAACGCAGCAGTGGTGGTGGAAAGGGCCGACAGGAGTGACAACGACGGCCAGACGATCATCAGCAGCATTGTTAGTTCATCACCCGCGGGAGAAGGAGGAGCAGTTACGGGGGCGGTGCGGGGAGGGAGGGTGGAGTTCGTTGAAGATCGGCGGGGATCAAGGCGGACCTGCACTTCGCGGAATCGAAACCAACTTTTTTTAGTGTCTTCGATTGATTCGACCCCTTTCAAGCAAAGCAAGAGAGTAACGAAAAACTTGTATACGTTGGCCCTCCGAAAGCTGTGGTCGTTAATGGATGGTCTGGTCTACTTGGTCTTCTTTTACAATACTAAATAGCGGATGATCGTTTGGTTTTACGCTGTGTGATCGTCCTCGATCGAGCAGACAACAAGAAAGAGAGGGCGCCGCGCAAAACAAACGGCATGTGTCTATGATAGATAGGGCCAGGAGAATCCACCCTTCCTTCGTGTTGTCGACGCGACTATCAACGGAAGGAAGCACCCCCGAAGGACGATGAGAGAGAAAATATATACCTCCTGTTTGGTAGAGGCTTATTTCCCACGCGATCAGAGACAGACAAACCCAATACACGACGTCAATAACAAATAAGTTATGCAAACTAGACTAATACGTAGTCATAGTCTACATAATTATACCTAGCACAGAATACACATCTCGACGAAGGCTGACTGAGGTCCGTTGGACGACAGCAGCAAAGTCATCCGCATACCACGGACGACGCGACTTCGACGGTACAGCAGTACTACTATTACTACTTGCGCGACAACAATCAATGCAACCGAGAGAAGAAATCAGGGTACAAAGACCGGCAAAAAGACCCGACGTGCTGTATACACGCGGGAGATTTTCAATAACATCTAGACGGTGTACGTAATATTTTCGGCACTCTCGTTCAGCGAGACGGGACAAACGTAAAAAAAAACATCGCCGATATTTCAACAAGTCATGAGAGCAGCGTCATCCTTAACGTTCAACATATTGCAGTACTGTAGTAATGGGAGAGGCACAACAAGGAGGCAAGAGACAGAAGAGAGGGAGAGACAACCCGCGTGCGCCGTTATAAAAAACATTTGAAATTTCTACTACTATTATTGCGGCAGCAGCGTCGCACATCACGATGAATCGAACCCCTTGCTGCGTGTTCCGGCAAGCAGTGCCGACGGCAGCTTGTTCCTAAAACTGCTGTCCGGTCCGTTTGGAGCTAACTCGCCCCCCCCTGTCCTCGACAGCAGTCGCCCTCGAAAATCCTGCGGGCACGGCTGCAATCGATTTCGCTGCTCTTTGAATAGCATTGACTAACCTCTTTGCCGCATCCCATGTGCGAAGTAAACGAGAACTCCCCCCCCCCCCCCC